AAAAAAAAAAAAAAGCTTCTTTGAGCGGAACTTTGCCACGAAACCAACTGCACAAATTATGCTTTCCATCCAACCTTAGATCCCCACGTCGCCGTACAAGCCGCTTATAGCCCTGTGCGTGATTGCAACTAGTGGGGGGCGCTTTGAGTGAACCTCTGTATGGACCATGGTCTGCGAAACCATGAAAACACCACGACCGCCTTCAGCACCACTAGTGCTTCCACTGCACCATCTTTAATGCCGCAGAGGGAAACATACAAACCCCGCACTGCGTGCTTCCCTGAACCCGAGCAACTTTTCCAGTGTGCAGCCTATGTAGGGTCACGCTTTCTCTCATGGGTTCCCCTCCTAACCCCCCTCTACACTACTCCCCTTAGAATCCCCCTTAATTAACCTTAATTGAGCCTAATATCCGTAAACAGCCTTGATTATGGGGGGAACCTAGGGTGGGTAGAATAGGGCGGGGGTAGGAGGGGGACCCGTCACTCTCTTGCCCATCACAAGAAGGCAGTTCAAAGAGTCAGGTTTGGGGCCTATGGCTTGATCAGGGAAAAATGGCAACGTTCGCATCACCATCCCCCAAGGGATGACCAGAACTCTTCAGTTGGGGATACACATTTGGACGTACAACATTGGAGAAAATTGGAAACCAACTGCTGGACTTGGAAGTTCTACACTGGGGCAGTTGGGTTGAAGTAGGTTCAGTCACTAATTTAGCCTGCAGCCAGGCCAGATACTCAAATATCTGCTAAAGCCGCATCAGCTTCACACAAGGGCACCGCCACTTCAAGCGAAGACCTTTCAAAAGACGTTTAGCCCACTTTTAGCCCTGTTGGAAAGCGTTAGCTGGTACCTTGCATGCTCCGCGGCGGTCAGGACAATCAAGTCCCAGGTAGAAAGTATCCAAGGTTTTGACTGAAGCACACCACGGCTTCCAAAAACAATGAGTCACAACCAAAAAAGCTAAAGGTAGCATGGCAGAACCCTGCGCTGTGAGCCGACAAGCTGCTATCTGCACTGCTGATCTCTGAAACCAGATCCTGCCCGCGAGTCTTTGAGGGACATGCAGGAAAACTTCAAGTTCAAGCTGATTCTGTCAATTCAGATGAAGGTGGGAATCATCTGCTGTTACCATACCTCCGGAACCCGCAAAAGCGAAAAATCCAAATCGGAAACCAGAAACCAGTGTTGGCCTGTCGCATCGCCTACAGCACAATTACAGGACCTTCAGGAACTTGAAGCAGGATCCAAAACGGTTGGGTTAAGTAGGGTTGATAGGGTTTAGGGGCGATGGGCTCCAGCATTTATGGCACGATTTGATGACCACTCGTTCAATGCTTTCCCCAAAACGTGCCTAGAGAAGCACGGGCTGAACTGTGTGTCAACAGTTGACAGCAACTTAGAAAAAAACAAGTGCGAAAATAAATCCACCCAGACAGTTTCAGAACAGCTTGGACGAGCTGCCTTGCCGGAAATTTGGTCACTTGGCCTGTCACAAACTACTCCTTCTAGATGTGGTAGGTTCAACTAAACGGGGACCCCAGCATAGACCCCCCCCCCAAAAAAAAAGGTACCCCCAACAAGGTGCCCGTAATTTTGAGATCTCCAGCTCTGAGGAAATCTGCAATAAGTGGCTCCTCAGCCGCTTCAGAGCCGGCAGATGCTACCCTAAACCCTAAATAATTGGGGTTATATAAGCCACTATAAGTTTGTTGTTTCCATTTTGTTTTTGAATTATCCCTATAAAACCATATATAACCCCAATATTCCCTATATAACCCTATTACACCATAGTAGTTTCCATTTTCTTTTCCACTATCCCTATATAACCCCTATATCCCCCCTTAAGGGACCAAGGGTTCTATCTACTTAAGGTGGACTATAAGCAAGCCCATGCAAAGAAGGCTTTGAGCAGGCAACCGGAGGGTTGGGGCTTAGGGTTTAGGGTTGAGGGTTTAGGGGCGCAGACTGAGGAATGACCCTGCCCCACTGGATTTCAAATTGCCCTTTGAGGTTGTAAATAGAGAATTAAGGAATGGAAAGAAACAGTAAAAAACTGCAGGTATTGTTGGGGAATATATCAGGGCCCCCATTCCCTGCTAAAAAACTATGATCAATGTGAGCTGTATCGGGCCTATCGAACGTCGTGTCTTCCTATCGCGACCATGATACACGGTCTGGGTTCTGGGAACCAACTCCGTTTAGTGGTCTTTGAGTCTTCTGTTTTCTCCTTCAGAAATTGGTGACCTCCCGCAAGGACTCAACCTTTTTTCGCGGAAGCCGTTGTCAAGGAGCATCTCTATCTCGAAGACTCCTGCTACCCAGACAAACCCATTGTATAAAAGTGGTGGAAGCCAAAGCCCCCAGACAACATTAAAACCTAAGTGAAAACAAACTCCTAGCTACGCCCGCAGACTTTGAAGAAGCGTTTGACACAAGCTTGCCGCCCCTGACTGGCCTTGGGGACCAGGATGGGCACGCAGTAGCGGGCCCGAGTGCCCCTGCTCAGCAACGATTGCAAGAACATGGATGGTTGTCAAAATTTGGTCCCCTTTTTGGGTAGCCTAGATATTAGGTGCCGTATTATAATAGGGACCCCAAAAGGGACCATAATTTTGACAACCACCCACATGCAAGAACAGGAGGGGCCGAGGGTGATCAGTCAACTCTGAGTTTCGAAACAGCATCAAACACGCCGCTGCTTTTCGGATGGTTTGAAGTGCAACAGAAGAATCTGTCAACCTTATGGGCCTGCTGGGTTTGTGACGCCCATCAGAAGCTCTGCTGACTATACTTCTGCTCGGAGACAAGTGACTGCTCTGCCACTAAGTCTGCCTCTCACAGAAAATGTTCTCAACTCTCAGTGCGACTAGACAAGAAATCCGACCAGTGCATATCACACATCCGCACAAAGCATAACCAGCCGTCCAAACCAAAGCCAGACAAGTCATCTCCCACAGAGGCCCCCAGTTCTGACACCCACATGTACTAGGGTCTAAACTCCTTAAGGGGGTCATATAGGGGATTATACATGGAACTACTATAGGGGATATCAAGGGGGATACTAGGAGTTTAGACTATAGCTCATATGGTCATTTCACAAAATAAGGGGACCCTAATTTGGACCGCCATATACTAAATCCTTATTATGGGGCCTAATTTTGGGAAACCCCCATATAGAGTTTCCCAGAAACTTGCCAGAAATCGACCCGAAGCTTCTTTGCCAAGGGACGGGGTGCCGCTACTGGGAGTGCTCCGCACGGCCGAATTTCCAGTGGCAACTGTGTTCAGCGACGCTACTGCCTGGCATACAGGGGATATTATCATCAAGCCTGTGGTCTTAATACAATTAGTCTCCTAGCTGCTCGCTTATGAGTTATGACTACGAAGGCCGATGCCATCACAAGCACGTAAGCCTATTGCTTTTGGTCCTGTTCAAGCAATTACAGGCGTGAAAAATGCAGAGTTATCATGTCCGCCACTTGCCCATAATACCTTTTCTTGCCATGGAGGCAAGTCTGGCGGCCAAGCCTAAAATGCAACTTTGAGGTGAAAGCTTTGCGAGCGGGAAAGACCTGACTAAGAGGTGCCCAAAAGCCCAAATTCAATGTGTCCGGGACAAATGCTTCATTTTTCCTCTGAGGTGATGGTGCTCTGTGAAGGCAAAGCCCGCTAGGTAGTTTCAACGGCGCCTGCACCATCTGCTTCTTTCCCAGCTGGTCCGGTTCTTTCGCAATTGCGTGAACACCACCTCGTTTGGCAAACCCCGCACACAGAACCCTGCAAGACTGCTGTCGTCTACAGTTGTCTACAGAAGCAGCGGTGTTCATAGTGTTTCTTGTCACGAAAAAGGCACTCGGAACAAACTAAAGGCTGGGCTGCGCCGTGCTGGCGCAAGTTCCACTGCAGAGGAATCTCTAGACGCCTTTCGAGCCCCCCTAGGCAGAGCACCCGTGGAAATTCTGCACCGAGGGGCCATCCGCAGCCTTCAGCGCGGACCAAAGCTCTGGAGTCACAAAAGCAGCGTTGCAGATGGCGTAGAAATTTCCTTTTGTGGTATAGTGAAACCTGAGTGGCATGTCGCGTGCACTTAGCATCTGAAACTGAACAACTGTGTGTGCAAGGCTCCTGGTCACCAACATGGCGTACCACGCTCTGCCCAAAACATTGGCACAAGATTCAAGCTTTATCACAAGGGTTCCACCCCAGGCACCATTGCCAAGCGCCTCTACGCAAGCTTCTGAACAGCAGGACGGAGGAACGAAGGTCTGAAACCAAGAAGGGCCCTGACAAACAATTGCAGTACATGAGCTACAGTCTAAACTCCTAGTATCCTCCTTAATAAGCCCTAAAATACTCCCCCGTATAATCCCCGATAACCCCCTTTTAAGGAGCCCCAAGAGATACTGCTAGGATTGTATTGGGGTTATATTAGGGTTATTTTGGGGGGTGCACTAGGGTTATATTGGGGTTATGCTGGGATTATATTGGGTGTATATTAGGATTATATTGGGGTTATATTGGGGTGATATTAGGGCTATATTGGGGTTATACTGGGGATATATTGGGATTATATTGGGGTATATTAGGGCCATGTTGGGGCACAGGTTTACATCCAAACCCCCAGTCCCACAAAAACAACCTCTACGGCTTCTTGCTTGCAGAGCTGCAAAAGCACGACTTCGTCGACTCTGTAACGGGAGGAGGCGATCTCCAGAGCACGCCGCCACACCAGAATTCCTGGCATAGCTTTTGTGTAAGGACTTAGGGGCCAGGTAATAGTAAGAGTAATAGTATTAACAGAACTTTTGGGTGAGAACCTCGGGGTCAGGGTTTAGGGCACATTCTGGGGTAAGGGCTTGGGTTCTGATGCTGCTGTACTACAGTTGCGAACGCTGGTGTTCCCTTTACAAGTGTTGCTTGCACAACTGCAGTCAGCTTCTGTACATTTCTTCTATGGCTCTTGTAAATCATTACAGCTAAAGTGCTGGAAGCAAGCAAATTGTGTTTGTCTTTAACCCTGGGCTTGTTGGGCCACAGGGATAACCCCAAGGACCCTTGGCTTCATGCAGCGTCTTGCAGAGATCCAGGGGCGGAGTAAGATCACCAGCTCCAGGCATCCGTGAAGGATGTCGAAAAAAGGTTTAGGGTCATTATAGTAAATCATGGCAAGTTATTGTGTAGTATAGGGTTTAGGACGAGGGGTCTGACGTGGACAAGTCTATCACAGGGTCGCACAGAGGAGGAAGATATACCTACAGGTAGCCCCTACACCCGAAGATGATGAAATGGCGTAAATATGAAGCTCAAAGGTGACCAGCCAATGAACCTGCCAACCTGCAAACACCCTGAGATTCTGGAGCAGCACCAAACAAGCGAAAGCCCACTTCAGTCCCACCTGTTCGAAGGTGTTTGTAGAGGGGGATCTGGGCTTGTACCTGCGCAGCTGCCATGTCTGGGGTTTATGCACTCTGAGGACATAGCTTGGCTGACATGCTCCCAGCAAGACGGGAAGCTGCAACACAGAAGAAAGAGCTGACTACAGAGCTAGGCGAGAAACGGACAAGCCCAAAAACTCTCAAGATGCCCTCAAGTCAGCATTAACAGAATGATGCAATGAGTTCTCGAGGTTTTTGCTTGGCCCGCAAGCTCAACTTCGTGGTCTTGAGGCTTAAAGATGATAGGGCTTGGGGGGAGCAATGCAGTCCATGCAACCCTGAAGTGAAAAGGGACTGGAAAGAGTCCTACGATGCTTGCCCAAACATTCGCCAACCTGAAAACAGACTTTGTGGCCTGCGTTCCTTTGAAAAGGGGCCTGTAGTAGGTCCCATCTTGAAAGGTACGGTAGGCTTGAATCTTCAGAACAAGCGTTTTTCAGTTCCATACACAACAATACAAAGGAAGCATAGTCAAACGTAGAAGGAACAGTCTTGCAAAATCCTCAGGTTGTTAATCCCCTCCACTTGAATTTTGGCACTGGCCTCAAGGTTGTACTGCGTGTCAGCAGTGCTCATGTCTTTGCCGTCATTGTAATCTTCCTCAGTGGCTGGGATTTGGGCTGACTTAGGGCTGAGGACTTGGGGCTTGAGGTCTAGGGTCTCCTGGGTTCCAGTCATGCGAACTTCCTTAAAGTCGTTTGGGCTTTCAAGCCTGCCTGCCAACGGCCCTTCTTCAACTAGGCACGCAACCCTAGATGATAAACCTGATGCAGGAGGTTGGCAATGGAGTCAGGATGAGACTTTCAGAGACGAGGAATGGCCGGTGCATCCTGCAGCTGGGCCCCCCAGCTCCTTTCAGAACCTCCCTTACTGTCCATGTGATCTATAATCTAAGCACCTAGTATCCCCCTTGATAACCCCAAAGAAATCCCCTACTTAATCCCCTATAGCCCTCTTTAGGGAGTTTAAGGAGTTTAGCTTATGGCTCATATTCTCCTCACTCGCAAAGTCGTGGTCAGCACAAAACTGCGCACCTGTAGGATCCAAGCATTCCCAAAATCATGAGTCAGAGCATTCTCAAAGAGCCATAAGACGGGGTCATAGGTTGGACGGCTACTCAACAGGTGGCTTCCAAAAAATCGCAGCCCTGTTTGATGCAGACGCTTTCTAGCAAGCTTTGCAAAGTTTGCGGCTGAAAAGGGGAACCCCAGGATAACCCCGAGGCCTGGATATACCCCAACCCAGACCCCTGGAGGATCTAGAAAGCCCTATAGTATCTTGAGAATTTCTGGGAAATCTCTAGGGAGATCTGCTGTCTAGATCCTTCCAGGGGCCTGGGAAGGGCTATGGAGGCCCAGACTCCGAGAGGAAGTGCGATCGCAGGCAACCCTGCGGCCCAGCTGCGGGTATGTTTCAGGGTCTAGGGCTTTGCCCCTTGCATGGCCAAAGCAGCGCAAGGGGTTTCGGGTTTCGGGTTCAAGGGTTTAGTTTTTAAGGTCTAGAGTTTAGGGCTTAAAGCTCCAAAAGTTGATTGGTCTTATTGTGGGTTACAGGGGTTCTATAATGTCACGCTGGAGGGTTCTGAAAGTCATGGTTCCATTTCTGATCTCTCTCATCATCGGGGCACGAATGATGCAAAAGTTGGTAGCGAGTCCACAGATGTGCTGCACAAGGACTTTGGGATTCTAACCCTACACCCTAAACCCCAGGACTTTGGGATTCTGACTTGCAGCTGCCGACAGACATGTCCAGCATTCCCCTAGGCTTATAGGGACAAGCATGGTAAGTTTAGAGTCCAAAGTAGCGCCCCCTTGTATGTTTCCCATAAACATCAATGGGGGGGAGCCCTATATACCAAACCAGAATAGATTGCCAGCGCCCCAGCTCAGATCATGTTTGAAAGCTTTAAATTCCAGGTTCGACCAGCTGACACCCTCGCATAAACGACTGAAAAGAAATGCCTAACAGAGGTTATGTAAGGATATAAATATATATATATATGTATATATATGGCGGCATGGTTCAGGGTTGAGGGGCTTAGGGAACTGCCAGGATATGACCAAGATAAACGCTCCACAGTTAAACAACAATCACGACAATGACTGGCGAACAGACCGCCCACTGCAAATTGTTCCCAATATTACCCTAATCCTAAACCCTAAGTAAGGGTTT